AACCGAAGGGGCAACAAACTATCTGGCCTGTAATTAGCACAATCAAAAGCCTCCCTCTCTGATGGTATGGGGGTGCATTATTACCAATGTAATTTACTTTTTTACAGTTGCAAACGCACAAGCTAAAAGTCAGTATTTTGCGATGCATTGTGGTCTAAATTTCATGTCTACTTTTTGAATTAGCCATGTCTCACCATGCTGCCCATACACTGTTGGAAACAATCTGTTTATAAACAGCAGGTTTTTTCCATTAGAAAAACAGATGTAAATGAACCTATCTGTGCATGTGGTGCTTGATTTTATGCACACACATTTGTAACTGCACAAAGGTGAATGGACAGCTTGCACATCTGGTTATGCATTATTGATGAATGAAACAGTTGTTTACGGAGGTTTCCCCTCTTCTGGTATTAAAAGCAGAGAGGCTGCTTCACAATGGAAAACATGATCCTGTCTCAACTTATTTATCCTAAAAATGGTAAAGTTTTTCAGTTTTAACCTTTGAATTGTTTCCTATGTTTCATTGTAAATAAAATGWGGGATTATGAGCTTAAAGCATTGCACTTTGCTTTTAATAATATTTTCCATGTACAGTATTTCCCAGCCTTTTCAGATTTGGGGTTGCAAAACTTTTAATTTGAGGGTCATTTTTAAAAACAAAAATATTAATCTAATTATGGGATCATAGTCTGTTTCTGAGGATCATCTGTTGTAATGCTTTATTATCGGCACAAGCCTTGAACCTTGAAAAAGCACTTACTGTATGTGGCTACATTAATGATAGTCATTATGTCCACCTGTCAGTAGTTTTCAACACTCATTTATCAGAAAGGAAAGACATTCTTCATTGCTTTTTCARTACAAGAACATTAACTAATTAACAGCTGAGTGTTGTCATTTGTTCTCCTGTCAGGTGAGTTACAGTCTCCATCGTGACTCTCAAACAAATCAACTTTGCTCACGTGTTTTTTCCTGTCTAATAAAAGTTTTTTTTAATTCTAAGAAACTGTTGTACCACAACCTTCATTAATTTTGTTTGCCAAAGGAGTTACATTGTTGGGCAAAAATTTTTGGGTCACCATTTGTTAAAGTGTAATCTCTTATAAACTTGTTTGCACATACTGTAATTTCTCCAGGCTCTTGGAAGATTTTTAAGGTTTTCTTTGGACTTTGGCTGCTTTTTTGCATTGTTTATTTTCAGTTCAGTGCCTGACTTTTTTCAAAATTACGTTTTTTAAAGCCATTTACTATTTGACCGATTATGCATTCACTGCATAAAAAAGTTTTCAAGTTCAAGAATTAAACTTGTGTTGTGTCCATGCAATTAACTTTGCAAATAACCTTTTAGCAGCCTATCACAAGGACACACTTTGTTTTCTTTTATTTGAATAAATCTATGAAAAATACAAAAGATTCAAAAAATCTAAGGGACAAATTCTGTATTTTAGCATCAACAAAAAGGAATTTCCAAAACTGTTCACCTTTTAGCTTTTTAGGTCTGCCACGTTTTCTTTTGTCCTCTGCTTGTTTGTGTTCCCTTATGTTTCACGCACACACACACACTGTACTATAAGCTGTCATGGTCAAATACAAGGACTGGAGAGACAAGAAGTGAAAAAAACATCAAAAAGAAAAAGGAAAAACTTTGAATGATTCCAAGAAAACTCAAAGGCCTATTGATTAAAATAATTTAAAATATTGCAAATGCCCCATTTGATATTAAGCATCATTTTACGCATCTCATGTCAACCTGTGTGGATGAGACAGTCAGTGTGAATCAATGACATTTGTCATTTTCAACTCTGAATATGAATGACTTCCTGTTTTACTGACCACACCTGTCTTACCTTAAAGCATACCTCAGGTAGTTCATAAAGCCTGTTTGTGTTACTGTTTCAAAGCAACCCATCGTTCTGCCAAGGAGGTTTTGTTGTCAGTAGTTTTGGTTGGTTTATATAGACGTTCATCTGCACCAGATTCCTTTAAAAAGTTGTGAATGGGTTTTCATAGCATTTTCAGGAAATATTGGGCTTGTYACAAAAAAGAAAAAGAAACAACTGATTACATTTTAGTGATGATCTTGCAACATCAGAAACAAACTAAATGATTGTTCCACCAATCACAGCTCAGCAGCTGCACACACGCTCATTTGCACAGGGTCTTGGAG